GAAGTTACACAACAATTTTCGGCCCACCTAAAAAGTATACAAAATGTGATAGAGAGATATCCCAACTTAAAGTAGAAGCTATTAACAATATTCTAACAGTTTCTCACTCAGAAGGCTTAAATAAAATAAAAACATGGAATTTATTTTAAACATTTCTTCTTGAGGTAGTTTAGCTGTTGAGAATGAGATGGTCTTGCAACCAAAAGGGCCTGTTAAAACCCCTTTTAGAAAGTAATCCCATCGATTACTCAAATCCCTTCCTCTTGCATCTTCATTAAACCAGCTCGGAAACGGGCCCACAGAGATCGAAGAGTTTTAATCCGGAGACTAGTCGTGATCTGCGGAACTGCGGTTTTCCTGTTGCGCCACAGAGCCGCAGTTCCTGGCGCTCCTCGTGGATCAAGTCTAAGCGCGCTCCTTAAGTTAACTATAATCCCAGCTTAATCGCTGGATCAGCGGCTAAGCAACATTTTCCGGGATGCAAATGGGCGAGTGAGCGAGTTACCTGCCCAGGTCAAGTGATCGAGCCAACTGCCCTAGTTTAATCCAGGGATTTAACTTTTTCGCCGTGCGCGGTCGTAAAAAGCAGTTTGCTACAATTTATTTTTTCTTTTCCAGAGTTTTACCTCTTTTGGCAGCTGGGCCCTGGATTAGGATAGAAAAAATGTTGCGTCTTGAAGGTAGAAACGGATTAAATTTTTTCGCACAAATAATCCAGTCTTAAGCATGGTGATTAAGCTTGATCCCCTGCAAAGGGGCGTAATATTGACGGATTTTCCTTAAATCCCTCTCTTAATCTCCGGCTTAGAGCGCGGCGCGACTTTTTTCGCGACTCGGCCTGCTTTGTTTTTTCATTTTCTCGGATTCGCAAGAAGGCAGGCCTCCGGCGAATGCGGACCGAGGATCATAATTATGGAATTCCTAAATACACTGAGCAGGGCAGACGGCGGGGCAAGGAGTCGGCCTACCTGTGTGCGTGGGCTCCGTCCGTGTCCCTTGAACCCGGGCTCGCTGCAGCCACAGGTAGGCCGAGTTCCAGCCTTGGACTCGGCGGCAATTAAGAAGTCAAATTTCACTTAAAAACAACAAAAAATAGGCAAGGAAAAACAATGCAAAAAATATGCGAAACTGAACTAAATCCGGCTTAGGAGTGTCGTCTGCCCAAGGATCTGCCTTGCATCATAAACCGGACAACAGACCGCCTTAGGGTCCCGATCATTTGCATGCCACATCGGCACTCGCGTCGTAAACGAATTCGCCGCATCGCTCCACGCACCCTGCACCCATCAGCCGTCCCGCTCTTTCCCACACCTTTTATAGCCGCCGACTTGACTTTTTTACAAATACTTTTTTACAAGCTACTACTGGTGTACTTCCGTTTTTTAATGTGTCTTTTTATTATTAGTCGCCCTACCTGCTTTTATGGCGGTTTAGAGTTTTTTAACTGGCCACCTCCCCGCTTCCGCTGCCAACCTGTTCCTGAATGAAGCCCGTTTTTAGCGGTCTTAGTTTTATGCAACAAATAGTTGCTGCTTACTGTGTGGCAACGACTTTGTTTACGCTTAGAATTAGCGCAGGAACTGCCCATGGCAACAGGAACGTATGGAAGGGCTCACGGCAGTCCTCGGCGTCCGGACTTGCACCTTCCTGGTCATTTGCAGGAAGACGGATTAGCTAATCCTCCGAGCGCGGGGATTATCTTCCTCGCCCTATTTGGCACTCGGGCATTATGTTCGTTGATAATTAGCGAACATTATTTACGAACCGGCTCTTGCTTTCCCATATATTAGATCTTAAGTTTCGAAATCGAAAATTTCCCTAATCTAAATATTTAAATAAGACCGCAAGGGTTTGTAAAACTTATAATCCGGCCTTCCTCGGCGATGTCCTGCTGTAATCCTTACAGGAACTCCGCCGCGAGCAGATTAGCTAATCCTAAGTTCCTGATTATATCACCAGGATTACCCAACGAACGGCTAACTCATTCAAGAGTGTGTCCTAGTCATCTCCTCCTCGCGGTGATCCTGCATCTGGCGTGCGCTTGGCATGCGATGACTACTCTGGCTTCCTCCTCGTTAAATTGATATAAAAATCATCCGATCCCTCCCGTACGCGTGCCGCGTGCTCGCCGAGTCCCTAAAAAACGAAACATTTTCATTAGGGATGCTGCCGAGAGGAGATACCACGACGGAGACAAGGGTGGAACTTATACACTTTTTATTAAGTGGGCAATCTAGAAGAAGATTCATAGAGTGGAAGATAATTTGGGATGGGTTCAGCAGTTCCCTAATCCAAGTTACTGCAATCGTAATCGCTTCTCCGAGAGCCCGAGTGTTTCCCCCAAGATCTGCTAAAAGGGTTTTCCCGTCGCATTCAGTATTAGATTTAAATAGGTTTTGGCCTTAACCACGCCAGTTTAAGATTGCGCAGCTTCCATCCGCGGATTAGGACCGCCGATTAGCGGGTGGCTAGAGATACTTTCCTTCGGGAAGCACTTCAATCCTGGCTCGGCATGAGCACAAAGGATTACCACAATCAAGAAAAAGCACTGATCTAAGATCAGTAGAGCCTAGAGGAGAGTGATTACGGAAGAAGAAGCCTTGAAACTAGAAACTGACTAGCTTAGAGTATTCAGACTTTCGCTGAGTGCATTAATCACAGCAACCACCTCCTGCGATACTATCGTTACTACCCGATTGACTGTAAATCATGAAACCAAACCCTCTAAAAAGTGCATTTCAGAGCCGATCGAGTGTTACAAATTGTTAAAAAATTGTGGGCACACTTATGGGTTGCCAACAATTAAAAACCCCTATCCCGCACCCCTAGGCATGCTGGATGCCTCAAAGTGCAAGCGTTGCGCACGATATTTGCACTCCATTTTCCCTTTTTTCCCCCTTTTTTACCAAACAATTGCCACTTTGTTGACAGCCCTCGTCTTATTTGCCCAGATTTTGTCTCTTTTTCGGGCAACAAAGCATTAACTCTTGTTTTTTAGGGGCTGATAGAGAGAGTATTTACAGTCTGAAAGGGAATTACCACACGATTTGATTTCCCTGTTATACTAAATAAAGAACCTAGTGTTCGTTGACCCAGGTTAGTTCCCCGTCCGGACCTTATCAACCGACTGGACCATACGCACTTTCTACGCACTACTGCCCCACTTACACATGAGCCGCCCAGCACGTGTGAAAGGCGTTGTCGGAAGATGGGAGTCCGCCCCGCGAATCTAAATCTGGACTAGTTTCCTTCACTCGCTTCCATAACACTCAAGTCACTGATTAGCGACAGTCCTAAGAGATAGGCCCGGCCGGATCTTGGGTTAATCAGTTGGGTTTAAGTCGCTCTCTCAATATCAAGCCGTGCATTGCTTATCAAGCAAACAACCAGAATTTGAATTTCTTCTGACTAATCCCCGAAACCTGGGCATAATCTGAAGATGTGTCCGAACCGGTCCGCTCGGACCGAAACCCCAGAAACTCTTATCAATAGGTCAGTTCTGGGTGCTTGAGTATTGTTTAATGCCTTCTGCGAATTTCATTTTTGTGAAAATCTTTCGCTGAAGTCGGCCGAGCGATGCGATGACAAAAACCATTCGAATTTTACGTAACATTATGCAGAGCAAGGATATGCTCTTATGTGTCCCTTTCGGCCATTGTCTGGTTTCACTTTCGAAAAATCCACGGTAGTTCGCATTAACCGCCCGGCGAGTCCTGCGCGTCCTGCGCGTCCTTGGCCTACCTACAAACCCAAAATACCGCTCTAGACCCATTTCCAGCATAAGTTCGGCACAGCATGTCCTTGCCATAAAAATCTACATAAAACCATTTAAAAGTCAATCCGCAAAGGTCACTGGGAACTGGGAACTGGGAACGACGTTGCAAGCAGAACTTGCCTCAGCTCCTCTGACTTCTTTTTATGATGATGCAGGACTTCTCTACCTGAACCGTTTTTTACTAGTTCCTTATTTACGATTTGTTTTTTAGACGTGTGCCAATAATTAGTTACCCATTAAACTCAACTTCCACTTTTCAGCGACTCCGCTCAACAGGCTGCTCCGAGGCGGAAAAACTCACTCAGACAGCGCTGCTGAACTAGCTCGGTCCCTTTTCCCTCCTTGGGGACTCGCCGAGCCGACGCTTTGTTTACTTCCTGTTCCCTCTTACAGCGCACGCTTGGGTTTCAACCCCGTCCGAGGCATCTCTTTCCCTGACTTTTGGCTCTTTCGCTCGCGCTGCTTCCCTTTCGCCCAGACTCTCCTTTGGCGTTCATCCCCCTTCGGCGCTCGCGAGCGAAAAGGGGAAATGGCCAGGCACCTTTGAGTGAGTTTTTCCGGATCCCCGGCTGGTTACTCGCCTCGACATACCGCAATAGCTCGCAACTAGCATCCGATCCTTGTTCCACTTTAAATGTCCTTCTAGTGCACTTTTTATGAAGGCTCTAAAAAAACACGGGCGAGCGGAAGTGGCCATAAGTTTTTTAATGCCCCTTCCTGGACAGCGCATGCATAGTTTTGATTTTTTACGTTTTATGGCTGACAAAAAACGCACAGGTCATAAAAGCCTGTTCTCGGCCAACTAAGGATGTTCCTCATCGGCATCCTTGCTAAAAAACCGCACGAAAAGGGGACTTAAGTCAGCTACGACTACGAGGCTGAAGCGTATCTATGGCTGTCTCTGTCGCTCCAATTTGCATATGGAAAATCAGCACTTCTAGGCGAAATAAAAAAGAAAAAACGAACCGATGAAAATAACTCAGTAACTCAGCTCTACTCGACTCAACCCGCAGCTCGGCTCAACGGAGTGTCCAGTTTCCACGTTACCTGCTCCGAGTCTAGGGATCGTTTTTCGCCTTCGCCGCGATGGTCTCCTCTCTCTCTCCCTGCCGCGACGGACGCGCACTCGCGTGCGTGTGAGCGGGAGAGCGAATTGAGCGGCAGTGTGCGTGCGGACGAGGGTGAGTGAGACTCTTTCGCCGGGGCAGAGCGTACTTATAGTTAGCTCACGCAGCGAATTTGTATCAGTCGTGATTTGGCTCTGTCAGTGAGAGGAACAACTATTTGTTGTGCCACACACACAAAACACACACAAACGCGAACGCCATATAAAACATAAAACAAACCTAATCAAATTACAACTACCTCATTTTGCAACCGGTGAACTTTTATAACAAGGAAAATCAGTGAAAACCTCTACCTCAAAGTACAAAAGTGCGGGAAAACTACTTCATATCCTCGAAAGTGCACAAGTTGCTCAAATGAAAATTTGCTGCCTCGAAAACCAGAACTGAAACTAAGTTAATCGAACTTCGAAAGTGAATTGCATTGGTGAACGAGAAATTTAAAGGATCAAGCACAGGAACACAAATTGATGGCCATATCAATGCTGCAAGACGCCCAGACACGAAGTAAGTATTGCGGGATTATAGTTTCCATTTCCTGAGTTGCCTGGATGTCCCCTTGTTTTTCGCAACCTCAAATCTCCCTTCGTCTCAACACTCGCTGTTAAGCGCGGCTTGTGCCTTAGTTTCCTCAACGGAAAACGACTTTTCCTCCGAAGACTCGACATCTTCAAGTTATCGGAAAATATCACACATATGTGTATTTAGATCAATTAGGCTTTGTTTACAAGTTTGGCCAGGAACCGGCACTGAACTCGTTACCCACCAAAACAAAAGCCAGCGAGCCCCAAACAGAGAGGAGAAAGAAAAGAGCACCGAGAGCGCTGGACTTTCTCTCACACATGTAACATATGTGCCACTTTCTGCTCTTACAAGCTTCTGCTCTTAGCAGAGGGGGCTCTGCGACCCCCAAGTGCTTCCTCTTGGCCAAGATTTTCTTCACCCTTGCAAGCAGTTAACTAACTTTCGTTTTACCTTTTCTTTTAGATTTGGCAGCTGCATTAGCCGGCATCAAGCGAGAGGACATCGCTGTTGACCGCTCCATGTCGCTATCGCCACCCATGTCGGCCAACACATCAGTCAACAGCGCCGCTGCAATGTACCCAGCTATGGGTCTCCAACAGGCGGCCGCTGCCTCAGCCTTCAGCATGCTCTCGCCCACCCAACTCCTGGCGGCGAACCGCCAGGCTGCCGCTTTCATGGCCCAGCTGCCCATGAGCACACTGGCCAACACTCTGTTTCCACACAACCCGGCGGCCTTGTTCGGGGCTTGGGCTGCCCAGCAGTCGCTGCCGCCCCAGGGCACGCACTTGCATTCGCCGCCAGCCAGTCCGCACTCGCCAGTGTCCACGCCTCTGGGCAGTGGCAAGCACCCGTTGAGCTCCCCCAACAGCACGCCCCAGCACCATGAGCCAGCCAAGAAGGCCCGCAAGTTGTCGGTGAAGAAGGAGTTCCAGACCGAGATCAGCATGAGCGTAAACGATCTCTACCACACACCGGGTGGCCCCATTTCTCCGCCATCCAGCGGCAGTTCTCCCAACTCCACACACGAGGGAGCGGCCGGAAATGCTGGCAGCGCTGGCTCCAAGGATCCATCTCGGGACAAGAGCTTCACATGCAAGATCTGCTCCCGCAGCTTTGGCTACAAGCACGTGCTCCAGAACCACGAGCGCACCCACACCGGCGAGAAGCCCTTCGAGTGCCCGGAGTGCCACAAGCGGTTCACCCGTGACCACCATCTGAAGACCCACATGCGTCTGCATACCGGAGAGAAGCCATACCACTGCTCGCACTGCGATCGTCAGTTCGTCCAGGTGGCCAACCTGAGGCGGCACTTGCGAGTCCACACCGGAGAGCGGCCCTACACTTGCGAGATCTGCGACGGCAAATTCAGTGACTCCAACCAGCTGAAGTCCCACATGCTGGTCCACAATGGCGAAAAGCCGTTCGAGTGCGAGCGCTGCCACATGAAGTTCCGTCGGCGCCACCATCTGATGAACCACAAGTGTGGCATCCAGTCGCCGCCCACTCCCGCTCTGTCCCCAGCCATGAGTGGCGATTACCCCATGGCAGTCACCGCCATGGCTCTCGAGTCGTCCTCCAACAAGTTCGCGGCCATGTGTGCCAGCTATGGAGGCTCGGAGGAGTCAGTCGACATGGACAAGGGAGCAATGGAGGACGATGCCCCACTGGACTTGTCTGAGGACGGAGCCAGCTCTGTTGATGGCCACTGCAGCAGCAGCGCACGGCGCAAGGCCCAGGACATTCGCCGAGTGTTCCGCCTGCCGCCTCCTCAAATCCCTCATGTTCCCAGTGATATGCCCGAGCAAACCGAACCCGAGGATTTGAGCATGCACTCGCCCCGCTCAGTCGGCTCCCACGAGCAGTCCGAGGACATCGACTTGGACGACTTGGACGACGCCGCTGCCCTCTACCTGCGCCACCACCAGCACTAGAGCGGCCCAGCAGCAGCCGAATTGTACATAGCCCGGATCGGATTCCATTAGATGGAAGCGACCGGCGATGATCCACACAAAATTGAAAATTTTGCCCCTTCAAAGTGGAACGTAAGAATTGTTGCAACAGGAATTTAATGATAAGTACAAGTAACAACCACAAACTTAGATCAATAATAGCACATAAATCAAAAACAAAAACAAAAACTAAAAACAAAAACAAAAAAATCACAAAATTGTACAAAACTAGCTAAACTCGCCATAAGCTTATCGCCGCCAAACCCCACCAAATCGAACCGAAAATGTCGTGCCATTCTAGCCCTATTTTAAGTTAACCCCTAGGTTCCCGAACTATCTGAATTGTATATATCCAGCTTATGCAGCTGCCAATTGTAAATCAAAGGGAGGGACAGAAATCGAGATCTATCGAAGGTTTATTTAGTACGTTAGCTTATTTTAATATAATTTAAAGAAATTCTGAAAGAAGTCAAAGCAACGCCAACGCCAACGCCAACGCCAACCAATCAAAACTAACTTTAAGTTATAATAATAAACACCTTTTACGCTAATTGTTTTGTTTGACATTACTCTTTGACCTATTATTTAATCGACTAGCCCTTAGTACCGAATTAAGTTTTATTTGGCCCAACACATTGCATTTTAAGTTTATATTAATGTATTTGGTTAACGAGTTGCTGCATGCAAAGAAATAAACTCACCGAAGAACATGAATCCCTTCATTTTCATTTATTATTTTCATTTGGAATGCCAAAGATATTGAATATTAAGCTAACTGGCGCTGTTACCTCATCCTCTTCCAGTCGCAGCTAGCTCTGTTCGTCGTTGTAAACTGTAAGGAACTCCTCAGACCCGCTGAGGGCGTACCCTAATCGTAATATAGCTCAATGTATGTTAACCTACTTACCCGACACTCGTACATACTAGTTCTAATTGTAAGACTTGAACCAAGTAAACAGGAAGAAATGCTATAACCAAATACCTCCAATACCTCTTGTATCGAAATTGTTGTGAGCCGATCAGTATATACATGCAACAACGCGGCAATCGTACAATTCAACTGAATTTATATACAACATTAGGAAGAACCACAATATGCATTGCCATTTTGGTGCATATTCCGAGGAGTTAGAGTAACCATTTTTGAATACTAGCCAAGTAGTAGGGATAAGTGTACAGACTTAGCTTAGGTTGTACATAGAAATAAACTTACACTGCATAATACTTTTAGTGCAATCTTCGGTTCTACCCACCGGCAGGCCAGCAGCCCGCCGGTGCACTCTTAGTTCGTTCGTTCTAAAGTCATAGTAATGCAACAAAATATTATGTAATTTTCTTTGTTCATTCAAGTGTATGGTATACAAGTTCCTCAAGATTAAATGATTACAAAAATAATAAAATCAGATGGCGACCGCTCCCCAGCGGCGACCTCTCGGAGGGCGGCGCGTCGCACGAAGACCTCACATATGTTTCATATTAATTGTGTACATTAATACTCGACACTAAAGGTAGTCCGTTTAAATCGTTAGATGTAACTAATACTTAGCAATACCAAGTCAATTTCATGTACATAAACTTAACCGCAGCTCAAGTTGTGCAATGTAACCGAAAACGTGCGAGTTTTCCTATTTAACCGTTTAAAGACAAACTAAATATAAACTAGACAATTTATAATAATCGGATGGCGGCGTTAGACACGCCTCCTGGCATATACTAAGTCACCTTTCGTCATACCCTCTCTAGTTTAATGTTGTACTTGCGGCACCTAATCGCCCGTTTTACGCATATGTTTAACTAATACGTATACATACCTTAACTTATTTACGATTAAAACTACACATATATTGCGTTATAATAAACAAATTGTATGTCTGCGAAACCAAATATATATTACAGTATTGTGTTATATAAACGAAGGACTTTTCCTATCAAATCGGCCCAGAACCACCCCCTGCTGCAAAATTAGCCAGCGCTTTCTTCGTTTCTTCGAAGTGAAAGGCGAAAGGCGAAAGGCGAAAACGGGCAGCATTACATAAATTTTTAATTTATGCAAACGAAGCCCTTTCGCATTATTTTACATTTGCCACAAGACGCCCCACTAATGCTGTCGCCACCACCCTCCCCAAAACACCCCTGCCAGCCCTGCCAGCCCTGCCTAACCCAGCCCCGCCAGTCATCCAGTCATCCCTTCACCGGAATTTGAATCGCGTCTCAAGGCAGGAGCAGCTGAGGAAAAAAAGAATATAAAAAACGCGCCGCGCCACGCCGCGCAGCCAGAAAATGTCACAGTGTTTTTCCCCATTTAATCTCCAGCGAGAGAGCAAACAACTACAACGCCATGGAGGAAGGAAAGGCGGACCTCGCACCACCCCCCATTCAGGCTTCCAGCGAAACTGACGCCTCCACTTCTTTGTGCCCCTTTCAACAGCCAAAAAAGGCTTCATACTGGCAGCCCCTGTACATAAGCGGCATGTACGAGCATTACATAAAGGGCGTCTTATGTGCTTACATAGAGCGGTCTAGAAGGGGGGCCGGGGGAGGAATGCTCGCGTACTGCGCTGCTTATTAGCATTTTAGCCTTTCTCCGTTTGGAGCTCGGCGAACGTAGTCAGCGTACACGGGAATAAAAAGTTAAGAGCGAGTCCTTCTCTGGGCCACCGAAAAGTATTTCATTCAGCATTTTCCTCTCCGTCTTCGGCTTCCATGGCTACCGTGGCTACATGGCTACTAAAGAATAACTTTTATTAATTAAAAATATTTCTAAGTGTAGGCATTCATGCCTTTTTCTGACCCCCACCCTCCGCCACTTCATCTTATTTTTTAGCTTTCGAGTAAATGATTTGGATTTGGGGGCAGGGCAATTTTTTCTCAAATGAGTTTACGAGTGTTTGGCTGTTGGGGCTTTTTCTGTTTTTTTCTCTTTTTGGCGCTGAAGAAGAAAGAAAACCTAAGAAAATAAAAGGCATTCAAAATAAATTTAAAGGCTTCGCTGGCAACGAACCGCCGACGCAGCCAACTGTCGTTCATTATTCAAATTGAAAAATTATGATTTTCACCCGCGATTCGCGGCGTCCGAAAATGAGAGCCGGCACGGAGACTCGGACCCGCCAACTCTAAGATTGGCGCCCAACCAAGCAAAGGCATTATAATAAGCTCCCTGAAGGGAGATGGCCGCCGGAATGAAATATGGAAGGGGTGTTGGAGAGGGCATCTGAGTCCTTTCTCTATTTGTTATCCTTGGGCCATTTGCCCCATTTCGGTTAAAAAGAGGCCCCCTTAATGAATTACAGTTGAAGTCCCATACCCCGAACTCCCTCTCAAACTCTCTTAAAAGTCAAACTATGTTAATTGGCAGTGCCTGTGAAATCTATACCTTCTTCTATTCCTTTAATTACGAAACTGTTTATACGAACTAAATGCTCTTAAGAAAGATGTTTTATCCTGTTTTTGGATTCATTGAACTCTAAACCCTAGTTTGTCATGCTATCGGACCACCTCAGGGAGACTGGCAAACAAATTAAAACAATAGTTGCAGGGAATCCAGCACAAAGGCCTTTAAGGGAAGCGGAGAAAGCATGCAAGGATCAGGTTCTGGCTTACCCCGCCGAGCCTGGCAGGTCATGCAGAAAAGGCATGCAAATTTTGGCAAACACAATTGGCAGGGATCGAGATGAAGATCGGTCCTCCGAGACGATATTCGCAACGGAGCTCTCGCAGCATGGCAGCCACGGGGAAAGTAAAGGCTGGCTGGCATTTTCACAGCGTGCTGCCAATGGTAGTTGGCGAAAAGAGGACTAAATATGAGGGAAAACAACGCTCATTATAATTTTGCAGTTCGACTTGTACTAATTTGGGCCGGAATTTACGAGATTGGCTCCTTCTCTATCGAGAAAACACGTAGCAGAGGCGGAGAAAGGGCAAAAAAAAAAGAATTACGGCAGGAAAAAAATGAAAAACAACCCTCTCAAAGAGGACGACAGGGACTGCGACGCCGGCTGCGGCGTCGGCAGCAAGGATAACGAAAAACTCATTTGCATACGAAGTGCTTTTGCTTTTGCGTTTGCTTTCGCTTTCGCCCCCGCCCAACACCCCTTCGAGACACGAAGGTGGCGTATTTTGAAGCATGGCGGCAATAGGCCACCTGCGTCAGTCGGAAAGAGAGGGTGGCCAGCGTGGCGTCCCTGTTGCACCTTCGCCTTCGCATCAAAGAGTTTAATGCTGGAACAACGCAGTCACAGTCGGGGGAGGCGGCGTGCTGGAGTGGGGCAAAGCTCCTTAGTCCTTGGTCCTCTTCCTCGGCTGACTCGCTTCCTTTGCTGCTCATTATCAAGCAGCGAGCGTTAAACTCATTGAGACGTTTTGCATCTCTGCCCTTCACTCCTCACTCCGCACCCTGCTCCCCAGGAGCAAAGCTTTTCCAAGCAGCAGCTCTCGGCGGTTTCTCTGACTCATTTTACATTTATATTTTCCATTCTGGTCTCTCTGAAGTTCACGAAAAGCTACGTAGAAGCAGAAAGACATTTTTGTTTAAAGGAAATTTGAAACAACCCCTTTGGAATTAGAAGCAAGGAGCAGGCAAAGGACAAAAACCGATGAAGCCAAGGAAGTGGGTAAGGAAAGACGTCAGCGTGAAAGCTAAGAAATGAGCGTATATTATTCATTGAATTAATGTCGTAAGTAGGAGGGGAGGGGCGAGTACGGGTAGACACCCGATTCAAGCTGGATCTCGGAGCGTTACTTAAAGCGAATTCGGGTGATTAAATGGGAAATGGGAAATGGGAAAAGGCTTTAAGAGCAAGTCGCTCGTCAGAAATCACAACTATTGTTTGGAAAATCAGTGTAGCTTAGTCTAAACGAAAAGATCTATTACATTTGCATCTCACATATGGCCTTGATAAGTTAGCTACCATTCCACCCCAACATATCCTTCCCAACCTGCCAAGTAACCAAATAACCATAATGCCAATTCTCCGATAAAAGTACCGATGATTACATAAACATTAGACAAGTGCGATTACTTCCACCCCTCACATATGTTTTTTATTTGCCACAATTTTCGGCAATTTTGGACAAATTTACATGCATAAACCGCGACGTCTCTGACGGCGGAAATGGCAATTTTTCAACAACAATAACGGCAAACGCCACTACACACGCGATTCGCAGCTCGCCTCCCTTGGGAAGGCCGTGGACCCTTTCTTCCCCTTTTTTTTTTTGCAAAATTTGCTTAGAGAAAATCAAGTGAAAAACGTTTGAAAATTATATGCACGGCGTGGTTGGCTGTGCCAGTTGGGCCAGCAAGTGCCGGCAAGTGCGGGGAGGAGCGGCTTGTTGACATTCTCTGTCCCATGGAAAGTGAGCTATCAACAAGCTATCATTCACTACACACACTCGAATCTGCTTGTGTGCATGTGTGGGCGAGGGCGTGTTGGCAAACTGTTGATACGACTTAAGCGATTTGTTGTGGGTTTTCCTTCGCCCAGAGCTTGTGCTCGGCGGGTGCTTTGTGCAAATTATGAAAACTGTAGCATACATTTCAGCGCGTGTGTGAGGGAGGATGATGGTGGCCTGTATGGCAGAGGTCAGTTCCACATTAGTGGAGCTTCCAATCTAATTATAACCCATATATGGGCCAAAAAGGATTTTCCAACTACCACTTATTTAATATTGTTGCATTAACCTCCGTTTCGAGTGCCCGACTTTCACGTATGCCG